TCAGGCAGACCACAGATATAGATAATGTACCTATCCAAGTAATAAAACTTAATTTTTTTATCATATCTTTTTATTACAGGGGGCGTTCAAGTCAAACCTGGACATTTCATTTTACAGGTATAAAAAGGGATGTTAGCATGGTGGTACTACACACAGTAATAAGTGGCAAGTGTTTTCTATTACTAGGTGGCACACAATAGGCTAGTCCAGAAACCATTAATCAAGATGGCAGACAACAGTGTTAGTGTGTGCATGGAACAGAGTGTGGTGATGAAGTTTCTGGTGAATGAAGGTGTAAAACCTGCGGATATCTACAGAAGACCTCAAGCATAGTGATGAGATGCTCAGCTGCAGTAAAACATAGAAATGGTGTAAACGTTTCAAAGATGGCCGTACGTCCATCAGTGACAATCCCAGCTGTGGTGGTTCCCAGCCCACACAGGTCATTTCTGTGAACATGGCATGGAATCTTAGATAATTGATGCTTAACCTGTGGTGAAATTGCACAAGAGACAAATCTTTCTGTGGGAAAGGTGAATGATGAAAATGTGAAGCAAGCTGTCCTAGGATGGTTCAGGGGTACTGACAAATCTTTCTATGCCAAAGCTTTCCAGGAATTAATTAAACACAAGGATAAGAGTATAAATGTAGTGGGGGAGTATGTTGAAAAATAAATGCAGTTTCTGCTTCATGAAAGTTGTTCTTTTATTATATAAACTCAAAAGTACCAGTTTTACTTGAATGACCCTCGTATAAAAGTAAAAGAGAGGGCGACACAAAACTAGTGTGACATTTGACACTGTTTTTGATAAACTAATGCATCAATATCTGGTTTGATGGATATAGTTGCAATTCTCAATTAATTCTCAAGGTACTTATCAGATATTTTGATTCTAATGTTGCCCTTCATGTGCTTCATCATTGAAAATAGTTGCTCACAAATATAGATGCTGCTGAAAACTGATTACATGAAAAAGGTGTGATTGTGAAAAGTGAGATTTTTTTTTTTTAAAGATAAAACTTATAAAAGTCCAGTAAGGAGACACTATCAAATTTTTCTTCAACAGCATGTGTTCGCTAAGTGTAAACAAAATTTTACAAAAAAATCCCCCCCCCCCCCAAAAAAAAAAAAATCAACATTCTTATGTATGTTTACAATTTGTGTTGGGTCACATTCATAGCCATCTTGGGCCGCAGGTTGGACACTTCTGAACTACTGTAACCCAACAATCACCCAACCGTATGTGGTACAAGAGGGAGACAACAAGCAAACCAAGCAAACTAAACTGGTGTCTTTCAACTGCAGTGCCCCCTAGTGGCAGAAATGCATATTTCTCTTTGTTTGAGACCTGCATTAGGAAGCACAGTGATAACCGAAAAATTAGAAATCTTTCAGTAAGGTATTCATGTTATATAGTTTAAATACCATGTCAAAGATATATTATTATCATTTGGACTCTTTTTATTTTCCAGAAAAAAACAACTTTGCAAAAAATGGAAAATAAACAGTTTTTTTGCCCTAATTTTTAAATTTTTTTTCATGCCTTACCATCTCTACTTCTGATACATGATAGACAGTATGCAATGCAAATCTATAGCTTCTAGATAAGCAAGATACTTGTAGTTAAGGAGGCATAGGGGTTGATTTACTAAAACTGGAGAGCGCAAAATCTGCCGCAGCTGTGCATGGTAGCCAATCCGTTTCTAAACTTATTCAATTAGGCTTTGACAATAAAACCTGGAAGCTGATTGGTAGAGCTGCACCAGATTTTGCACTTTACAGTTTTAGTAAATCAACCCTATAGACTCAAGAAAGAGCAAGGCATAATCTTGCCACTGTACAAAGCATTAGTGCAATCTAATTTAGAATATTTAGCTCTGAATGTGGGCAAATCTCCTTTAGAATATTTAGTTCTGAATGTGGGCAGATTAATAGTTGCCAAAAGCACGTTTTGGACCTGTGAATAAAAAGTAGCCTGGTGGGATTCCCTAAACAGATATGCACAATTGCACTGATATGCACATTGGTCTAGGTGTCTGTGCAAACAGCACATAATGGGTATCATGGCCAACTTCCCTGTATTTTTAGGAGGTTCCTTATAGTCATTAATATGAAAAAAACATTTATTCAAATTCTCCTAAAAGTGCAAGGAATTGGAAAGTATTAGCTGTAAAGCAGAAGCAGGAACCTATACAAGCTTGACAGTTTTTACTATAGGTTTCTTCATGGTTCTTTAGGTTATAAGCTGATGTTCCATCAGACTCCAATTCCATCTTATATTTTGATATATGAATATTGGGAACCCTAAATGTTACAAGCAACATAATGTGGTAGCGGGGTTCAGTATGAGGCAAAAGTACATGGGGTTGGCAATGTTTGGAGTCATAATAAAATAACTTCAAAATGTCTGTTCTCCAAGGACAGTCTTTTGAACAATACTGCGCCCATGGTATATTATCAATTCAGTAACTTGTAGCCATTTGAAACATTGTGAAGTACTCATGTCCACTCATTTCAGAAGAGTTAGATACACATAGCTTTTTTGACAAAATCCAAAAAATTATTTCTGATTTTGTATGTGGAACTCTGGGGAAATTTCCCTTGCAAAATGCAACTTTCCTTGCAAAGTAAACAGCCTATTTGCCTTTAATAAATCAAGCCCGGTGTATCTACAGTATTCTAGAGACATCCTGTGGTTGACAGTTGTTGTTGAGGGTATTTAGGAGAAGTCTGTTGCATACAGTAGACTTCAGATACCCCAATAAGGAATTTGCAGGCAGGGTGATAAAGGGGGCTGCTCAAAAGGTCAAGGAATTCGGCATATTAGGAAAGACTTGGGAAGTAAATTATGCTTTTTTTCCCCCATAACAAGCATCCTTTTAGGTCTTTCTGCTGGCAAATAACACCAGACCAAGTCTGGAAACCTGGGAGACTCCCATAAAATGTTGACAGACTTGTGAAGCAAAGAATGGATGCCACTGAGATAAGGATGTACAAATATTACCACTTACTCTTCATTCACTGCTGAACAAAATGAGCAGCTGAGGATAAAACGAGGTAATATTTAAATCTCCAGTAAACTTGTTGGAAACGTTCAGTCATTCTGTTGCCATAATTCCTACTAGGGGTAAAGAGAGATGGGTAATCAGAAAACCAAGTGAGAGATGTGAGCCTGTGGAAAAGAAAAGGAAGGAGAATGGATGCTTCTGTGAGTCCGGTCACCTAAGTGAGGATGTCAGATTTAAAAAAGCCTTGAGCACTGGGATGAGTATAAGAGAGGGTGGCTTATTCTAAAGAATGGTGGCCAAAAGTCCTATCACTTGTGAAAAGATAATCATGATGCAATAGGGGTGGGAACACTAAATCAATGAGCACTTTGTGGGAAAGGGTGTTATGTGTACCACGCTGTCTACTTGCCTCTTGGGTCATCCAGAGTAAAAATGTGAGTTGCCCAGCCACCAGAGTGTTAATTTGCATATGTTATTGCATGCAGTAAAAAATGTACAAATCACAAAAAACCCCCCCAAAAAAACTATTATGTGGTATTTAAAGCAGAATGGAATATGTCACAAAAAAAAGGGGTAAACTGTTCAGTCCAATTCACAAACAGAACAGAAAGTAAAAAAAAGATGCAATATTTATCGCCAGGGTCTTGCTGGCAGTATCACACGCGTTATTCTTTCAGATGCACCGTGGGGTCTCCCCAATCTTTACCAGGCCCTTCAGGTCTGGTATAAATTTTGACGGGAACCCCATGTCACAATAAAAAAAAAAAAATGTGCGAGGCCCCTCCCAATCCATTTTTTTTTTAAATTACCATGGGGTTCACCCAAAATCTATACCAAACCTAATGGCCATTTTTCTATTAAGAATTTTGCATGGGGTTTTCCTTAAAATCCATACAAGACTCTAAGGACACCTACGCTGATTTTTTATCATAATGTTTAATTGCTGGCATGTGTTGTTTACATTCAGCTGTCAGCAGGAAACCCGCTGACAGCTGATGAGTGATCCATTGCTAAGGATGCGGCAGCCAGCTTCCTTAACAACAAGCTACCGCGTGATAAATAAAAAATACGGTAATTACCGCAATACCATTATTTTACCGCAGCAGTTATTTACTGCAAAATTCTCAGTGAATTGCACATTTGCTAAAGATTTACCGCATTTGTTATTTTACCACATTTTTTCAGCCGTCATTTAATTGACTCCAATGTGTAAAAAAGTCAGCAACAAGGTGGTGAATAGTGAAATAAGCGGTGACACTGAAAATGGTTCTGAATATATTGTACAGTACCAATGTTAGAATTTACTAGCTGCAAACTGGCAATAAAGTCAACCACTTGCCTACCAGGCACTTATACCCCCTTCCTTACCAGGCCAATTTTCAGCTTTCAGCGCTGCCGCACTTTGATTGACAATTGCGCGGTCATGCAACATTGTACCCATATGAAATTTTGATCATTTTTTTCTCACAAATAGAGATTTCTTTTGGTGGTATTTAATCGCCACTGGGCGCTTTACTTTTTGCGCTATAAATTAAAAAAGTGCAAAAAATTTGAAAAAAAAAAAAAGTTTCTTTGTTTCTATTATAAAATTTTTCAAACAGGTAATTTTTCTCCTTCACTGATGTGCGTTGATGAGGCAGCACTGATGGGCACTGATAGGCGGCACTGATGGGCACTGATAGGCAGTACTAATGAGGTGGCACGGATAGGCAGCACTGATAGGCAGTACTAATGAGGTGGCACGGATAGGCAGCACTGATAGACAGCACTAATGAGGTGTCACGGATAGGCGGCACTAATATGCAGCACTGATAGGCGGTACTGATAGGTGACACTGATGATGGGTACTGATAGATGGCACTGACTGGCATCACTGCTGGGCACTGACTGGCGGCACTGACTGGCACAACCGCTGGGCACTGACTGGTGGCACTGACTGGCAGCACTGCTGGGCTGCACTGGTGGGTGGCACTGGTGGGCAGCACTGGTGGGTGGGCACAGGTGGGTGGCACTGGTGGGCACAGGTGGGTGGCACTGGTGGGCACAGGTGGGTGGGCACAGGTGGGTGGCACTGCTGGGCACAGGTAGGTGGCACTTCTGGGCACAGGTGTGTGACACTGCAGAGTGGCACAGGTGGGTGCACTGCTGGGCACAGGTGGGTGCACTGCTGGGCACAGGTGGGCGGAGCTAGTGGGCGCACTACTGGGCACAGGTGGGCGGAACTTGTGGGTGGCACTGCTGGGCACCGATCATCAGGGCACTGATCATCAGTGCCCTGATGATCGGTGCCGATCCTCGCTCTGACAACTGCCGGTTCTAGGCAGTACTTTCCTCACGATCTGACAGCGTGAGGAAAGTGCAGCTGAGAACCGGCACTTGCATTTCCCTGTGATCAGCGTGTCATTGGACACCGCTGATCACGTGGTAAAAGGCCGGTATGATTGGCCTTTTACCACATCTCGTGATCAGCTGTGTCCGTAGGACACAGCGATCACGGAGATCGCCGGGTGCGCGCCCCCTGGGGCGCGCAGGAGAGCACGTTCTGGGGGGACGTCATATGATGTCCACCCAGAACTGGCCGGCCGCAGTGAAGCCGTCATTCGGCTATCTGCGGTCGGCAACTAGTTAAGAGACGTTTACTGAGAGAAACCACATGCACAGCCAAGAACAGCAGTGACTGAATCTGTGATAATATCAATCTCTGTGCCAGACTGGCAAGAAACATACATAGGGCAGACAGCATGGAGAAAATGTTTGGCCAAATAGACACAATGGGGTTGATTTGCTGAAACTGGAGAGTGAAAAATCTGGTGCTTCTATGCATGGTAGCCAATCAGCTTTTAAATTCACCTTTTTTAATAAAGCTTTTTTTTTAAAAAAAAAACCTGTTAGCTGTTTTGCTTCTATGCAGAAATTTTGCACGCGCCAGTCTTAGTAAATCAACTCATCACCCCCACACATTCACAAGGTGCAAGACCAACTTACAAATGCTGCTCACATGAGAAAATGAAGAAATCCAGAGGGCTGCATTCTGAATCCTTGGAAATCCACCTTTCTTAAAAACTAGTCCATAAAAAGCAGCATAAAAACAGCCAAAAGGTACAGCGGGGAGAGAAAGGTTAACACGCTTTCTGCCAATCTCAGGGCTTAATCATAATATCATGGTTAGGAGAGTAGAGATGAGAGTAGCATGAAATGCGTTAACATCTCTCAACCATTCCCACCTCCCATGTTGGCCATGCAAAGTAAAAGCTCGAGTCAGTCAGTAATATAACACAAAACTTACATGTTAATAAAATCAACTAAATACAGAGAATACATATCTATGTTTTGTTGCAACTGAAAGGAAAACTGGCAAACATCTCAGAAACAACATAACACATCTAGAAATAGAATATGTGATGCCTTTCCATATGTAGGTAGCAGATGAATGTAGCAGTGTACTATCCCTTGAGAACTTTGCTAGCATTTGGGGGACCTCAACAGAGAGGGGGAGAGAGGGGGAGGTGGAAGCGTTATAGGTAACGCTGAAGGAGCGTTGGGATAGATAGGAGGAGAGCCAGGAGAGAGCAGAATCTCTGAGGCCGAGGGAGTGTAGTTTATTAAGGAGGAGGGGGTGGTCAACTGTGTAGAAGGCCGTGGAAAGGTCGAGGAGTAGGAGGACTGAGTAGTGGCCATTAGCTTTGGCGGTTAGCAGGTCATTAGTGATTTTGAGGAGGGCGGTTTCGGTGGAGTGTAGGGGATGGAAGCCAGACTGTAGTGGATCGAGGAGGTTGTTGTCAGTGAGGTGGGAGCTTAGGCGATTGTAGACTAAGCGCTCAAGGAGCTTGGATGTAAATGGCAGCAGGGAGATGGGTCTAAGGTTTTTCAGGTCGGTGGGGTCCAGGGAGGGTTTTTTGAGTATGGGGGTGATGTGCGCATGCTTTAGGGGGGAGGGAAATGCGCCAGTAGAGAGGGAGAGATTGAAGATGTGGGTGAGGGAGCGTAGGATGGAGGAGGAGGGTGACGGGAGGAGTTTTGTGGGGACAGGGTCAAGGGGGCAAGTGGTGAGGTGGGCTTCTGAGAAGACCTTAGTGACCTCCTCAGTGGTAGCAAGGCTGAAGGAGCGGAGTGTTGGGGAGGTTATAGTGTGCGGGATGTTAGGTGTGGTGGGGGGCAGGGCAGTTGCGAGGTCAGAGGAGGGGAGAGTTGATGGAGTTATAGTGAGAGGGAGGCTAGGTGGGGAGGTAGATTGAGCATTGGCGATGTCCTTACAGATTGCGTCGATCTTGTTGTGGAAGTGATTGGCAATCTCTTGGGCAGTGAGTGAGTGTATTGTTTTGTTACTGTATTGTCTCATGTACTGTACCCACTATAATGTACAGCGCTGAGCAAACCTTTTGGCGCTATATAAACACTGTATAATTATAATAATAATAATTTGAATAGAAGGGAAAAGTAGAGGTGCTGCCAAGAGCACATAAAGTGAACATTTTTTTCACAGCTGGGATCTGATGGATTCAGGGGCGGACTGACCATTTGGAAAATCGGGCACTGCCCAAAGGTCCGGGGTCAGTAGGGGGCCCTATGAGATGCCTGTCAGGAATGGACTTGCCAGTAATGGTGGGACTCACCTGCCTTGTGGGCTGCAGTACCAGGGCTGGCCAGCGGGTGCTCCCAGCAATCAGAGACTCAACCCTGCAGCCAGCCAAACACTTGAAGTTGATTATGCAGGTGTATTTAAGGGATGGCCAGACCTGCAGTCTCTGCCTTGGTGTGTGTTTTTTCCTGGGCCCTGTATCTTGTGCCTGCGTTCCTGTTCCTGTTCCTGTCCCTGTCTCTGTCTGATTCGTTGCTGATCCTGCCTGATCCGGACCTCTGCTGACTTCTCCTGTTTTATCCCTGGCTCGTGACCCCGACCATTCTCTGCCTGACCCCCTGTACCTACCTGCCCGATTGTTATTGACCCGGCCTGCCTGACGACGCTTGCATTGTATGTACTGTTATCTGTGGGTGGTTTGGTTTGGTTCGTTTGCACTGTGTTATGTTTTAGTATTGCACTGCGTTTATGTTTGTATTGTTAGTCTTTAATAAATTATATTGTTTATAACTTATCTGAAGCCTGCGTTTCCCTGCGTCAGTTCACATACCTCTGGTCACACCCCGGAGCCCTGACAATGCCCCTGGTACTTTTTTCATAGGCTTTTTTGAGTTTGGGCAAGGACACAGGGGCCCCATGATCCCCTATTGCCCGGGGCCCCATGAGTTGTCAGTCCGCCCCTGGATGGGTTTCTTTTTTAGAATCATTTTTATGTGAAAGGGAATCTATCAAGCATGGCTACTGCAAACTAAAAATGTGATGAAAGATACATAAGCAGAGGTTAAACTCTAAGTTGATTATGCCAGTTGTTCCAAAAGTATAGACTTAATCTGTGAAATTCAAGGAACATCTTGTCCTCTATCATTTGACTGATATGAGTATCCACTGTGTGGTCAGTTTCATGTCTAGCTTCATAATAAATAGTACAGAACACTTTAAATATCCCTTTGTCATGCCTCTTCAAATGTATTTGTTTCATTACTTCAATACTGGGCACTTTCACCCCCTTCCTGCCCAGGCCAATTTTCAGTTTTCAGCGCTGTCACACTTTGAATGAAAATTGCGTGGTCTAGAAAAACTGTACTCATATGAAATTAAAAAAATAAATAAAAAATTCTGAGACAGACAGAGATTTTTGGTGATATTTAATCACCACTCCGTTTTTAATTTTATGATAAACAAACCAAAAAAGGCCGAAAATTCTGAAAAAAAAACCCCCTTTTTTCTTAGTTTCTGTTATAAAATTTTTCAAATAAGTAATTTTTCTTCTTTGCTGATGTGCGCTGATGAGGCGGCACTGATGGACATAGATGGGCACTGATAAGCTGCAGTGATGGGCACTGCACTGAAAATCAGGGCACTGGTGATCAGTGTCTTGACTATCAGTGTAAATGTGCTCTGTCAGTCTTGCCAGTTATCGTAGATCCTTTCCTCACACAGTGAAAGCATGTGACGAAAGGAAATGCTGATAATGTTTGTTTATATGAGATTAGCTGTGATTGTAGACAATTGATTACATAGTAAATGGCCACTGTGATTGGCCCTTTACTTTATGCCCCATGGTTGCACTGGAGGCACGTTCTGGGAGAACGTCCATGGACACCCTCCCAGAACAAGGGAGCAGCGCTGTAGCCATCTTTCGGCTATGGCACGGTACTAAGGTGGTTAAACCTGAACATCAGGATCTAAATACACACTTGAAATTCAAACATATAATCTCCTTCCTTGGTCCAAATACTTGTAAACCTGTTCATTCACTATTGTCAATTAGGCACACCTGCCAGAAAAAAAGGCTAAGCTGGGGTACCTACTTTTTCTCCCCTGTATTTAAACAATTAAGCTTGGTCACCAGGCCAAGTCAGCCTGTACTTCACCAAACAAGGACCAATAACACACTAATAAGGTCTTCCCTTTCTCCCTTTCTGTAACCAGGTTCAGGCAAAGAGTCTGACAGCACAATGCAAAATGGCCCAGATTAGCTCAAAATCTTACTCTTCTGTCTCCCACTGATTCTTGTTTTTTATACGATAAGAGAAGGCCAGAGGGTTGTTTTTAACATATACTAATGTACATCTGAAGCTAAAAAGTTCTTTTTTTAATTTCGGTAGAGTGATGTTATTGCTGTTTGTGTTGATATTCACTCTTTATTTCCACTAGTTGACTTGTTGACCATTTGACAACAGCACAGAAAGTAATGGGAAATACAAAATTTTACAGTTGCCACCAGAGCAGGAGGGGAAAACCTTTTCCAGTGACAACTGTTTATCATGGAATTTGGAAACATTTTGTCTCACATTATGTTGGCATTTTGGGTTAGGAAGATAAAGAAAATCTAAATATTAGGCCACAGACAGCTAAAAAAAAAAAAAAAAAAAAAAGACAGGGATCTCCTACTCTAACCAAAACAAATGCTTTCGAATCACCATTATATAAAAGATACATTTAATGATTTCCTAAATTAACAAATAAATGCCTGGGTTCAACTTTCAATTATATCTGTCTGGGGTTGAACTTTATATTATGGACAGTGATAAATAACACACTGTAAATGAAGAAAAATCTGTAAAATCTTTAAACTGTGGAGGTGGATAGCAAAAAGCTGCACTATACAGCGTGTTGTGACTGACATGTACTTCCTTTTCAGTAGTTAATGTTACTGTGATGGTTTTAACTTGTTAACCATTGTCAAGCTTGGCTATTTGATTCAGCAGTGAAGGCTTTGGCAGAAATCGATAAGACATCAAATTCTCAGTGAACTGCTAGACCATATAAATTGTCAATAGGGAAATGCTCCTTACCTTCA